CCCAGACCGAACCTAATCCAAACCTCAACCAACCTAAGCCAAACCTAAACCAAACCTACACCAAACCTAAATCGAACCTACACCAAACCTAAACCGAACCCAAACCGAACGTGAACCAAACCTCAACTGAACCTTAACCAAACCAAAAACCCAAACCTAGGCCGAACCAAGCCGAATCTAAACTCAATCTAGACTGCACACAGACAACTAATGTATGACTAATGTCCGTACACCATAACATGGAACCAGAAGAGGCACTGAGGTTTGGTTCGGTTTCCGGGTTTGGTTCGGCTTTCGGGTTGGTTCAACTTTCGGGTTTGGTTCGACTTTCGGTTTCAGGTCGCGAACAAAGCCGAACCTAAGCCGAACCTAGGCCGAACCAAAGCCGAACCTAGGCCGAACCAAAGCGAACCTAGGGCGAAGCAGAATAGGAAATGAGAACCGAACCCAAAGCCAAGCATACGATGGAATCTCGCCAAAACTGAACATGAAAATGAACACAAATCCAAAGGTCAGGATGAATCTATGGGGGCCAGTTATCCTTTTCTCTTATGTAAGATGCCATGGTCGAACTGGATGGATGGTGAAGGGTTCATTTTGCAATTCATGGCTTGGGTCCAGTCATGAATTGCAAAATGAACCCAAGCATAACAGTCCAGATATCCTTTTTGCAGTTCATGGCCCGCACCCTTCAGTTTGGCTACTGTGTTAGAACTTAAGAGGGCGTGTTTCTTTTTTTCAACTTTTTTCCCTCCGTTTGAAATTGATCTGTGTTTCCATTTATTTATTTGTTTATTTATTTTGCCACTGATTCTGTTCCTGTGTTGTCAACCTGGCAGCATTCCAATGGGGCTGGAAGCCTGCAGCCCTGAACCTGACTGCGATCCCATGGATGCTCCTGCCTCAGTGGATCGGGTGCGTGGGGGTGCTGAATCAGCAAATCCAAGGAGCCGCATCGTCGTTGTTGGTGCGCATGGGGTAGGAAAGCGAGCACTCGTAAGACGTACGTACCCAACATGTTTGTTCTTGCCTGACGCACAATTTCTCCATCGTGCATGACAACTGTGTGCTTGTGTGCTTGTGTGTGTGTGTGTGTGTGTGTGTGTGAGAGAGAGAGAGAGAGAGAGAGAGAGAGAGAGAGAGAGAGAGAGAGAGAGAGAGAGAGAGAG